AGCAACAGCTTGCCAAAGTGGACTACTCATGTGTACATACTCGTATGTATGTATGCACGATAATAAAAAATGCGCACGTAATCGAAGAGCAATTGAAATTTGAGCTTTGAGAATTTCATAATTTAGCAAGCACTTAATAACTAACACATAAATATACTAAAATAAAATATATATGTATATTGTATGTATGTATATATTCATAGAAGCAATAAAAGGTTATTGGAAATATCGTGCATACATACATGCATACATACACCCATACACTTTCACCGGTTAAGTGCGAATGAGCTGCTCGTATATTTGTAGAACGACACAGAAACAACGGTACTTTACGCAAAGCTTAAAAAGAAATCATAAACAATTTGCGCTGCATAAAGTGATGAGAAATTGCGCTGACAACTGGCGCTGGCTGAGTGTATGCGCTCACCTGTCATGCCATTGAGGACGCATATCAATAAAATTATAGCTGCCGGCCAAATGTGCAGCGGTGAAATGACTAAGTGAGAGAAGAAGAAAAGCGTATACAGAGCAGCACAACTCTACTGCTGGCCTTCACACGTATGCACATACATACATATATATGCACGTAGATACGAGTATGTATGTTGAACTCACGGCATAGAACTCAGTGGAGTCGAACGTCGCATGTGACCTCAATTTGTTGATTATGAATATTGATAGCACGGTGAACTGGTATGCTGTAGGTGCACATATATATGTACATACAAACATGCCGGTTAAAAGGATTCCAGGCATGCTCTTGGGTAGCTCTATTGCGTTTATTGGTCTTAGTTTGTTTGTTGATGACAGAATTTTCCAGAAAAGCTTCTTTTTTTTCTTCTTTTACTGCAGCAACATGTCTCCCGGCTGTTTATGCACGTGGAGCCATAGGCATAAGCGTAGACCATGCACAGGTGCACAGGCTCAACAACTGGGAGTATGAAATATATTTGTGTACACATATAAGTGCTTGACTATGGCACTGTATACATATATGTATATATGTATATGTTCATACATATATCTGTAGACAAACACGCGCTTGCATAATTTCAATCATGCAATCATTTGATGAATGTTGATTTTGTCCCAGTCCCAATGCAAATTCTAATGGGAAATGTATGTGCACATACATTTATATATAAACGTTATACGCTAATAGAGATATGCATGTATGTAGCTGTCACGGGTGCAATCTGAAAAATTGTTGTTGCGATATGCCGTGGCTGAACGTGTAACTCGATTTATATATAAAAGATAATGAAATTCCTTTAGGTCACGAATCAAGCTGAGGAATAACAATAAGTCGACGAAAAAAAAATTAAATCAACCAATTCAAAACAAAATAAAATAATATTAAGCCGGCAGTACCCTGCGACACATCGCTGTCGCACATACGCATTGAATGTAAGATAAAATAAAATGGAATGAATTTTTATCATTAATTTAAAATTAAAATAATATACCATAAAATATGTAATAAAAAAAAATAAAATAAAATAAAATAAAAATAAAATAAAATAAAATAAAATAAAATAAAATAAAATAAAATAAAATAAAATAAAATAAAATAAAAAAAATAAAATAAAATAAAAATAAAATAAAATAAAATAAAATAAAATAAAATAAAATAAAATAAAATAAAATAAAATAAAATAAAATAAAATAAAATAAAATAAAATAAAATAAAATAAAATAAAATAAAATAAAATAAAATAAAATAAAATAAAATAAAATAAAATAAAATAAAATAAAATAAAATAAAATAAAATAAAATAAAATAAAATAAAATAAAATAAAATAAAATAAAATAAAATAAAATAAAATAAAATAAAATAAAATAAAATAAAATAAAATAAAATAAAATAAAATAAAATAAAATAAAATAAAATAAAATAAAATAAAATAAAATAAAATAAAATAAAATAAAATAAAATAAAATAAAATAAAATAAAATAAAATAAAATAAAATAAAATAAAATAAAATAAAATAAAATAAAATAAAATAAAATAAAATAAAATAAAATAAAATAAAATAAAATAAAATAAAATAAAATAAAATAAAATAAAATAAAATAAAATAAAATAAAATAAAATAAAATAAAATAAAATAAAATAAAATAAAATAAAATAAAATAAAATAAAATAAAATAAAATAAAATAAAATAAAATAAAAACAAATAAAATAAAATAAAATACAGAGAACTAAAATAACGGAAAATGAAATAAAATATAACAAAATATTAAGACTACAATTAGGACTACAATTACCGCAAGAAATACCTTTTCAATTATCATTATAACTTCAGTTATCATAATCTTTGCAACTGACGGTACATTTACTATAACTAATAACATTTCTTCAATTATATTGCAATTAAAATAATTAATTGCTGAGGTTTCATGAGGTACGTCGGCAAAATAATCACTTTTGGGCTAATTGAAATTTATTGCATTTAAATTTTCCATATAAAAAATGAATGAGTTTGCCACAGATAGATAGTAATCCTTTAGACACGGTGGCTTTAGTATACTTTATCGACTCTGCAGTTGTCATAAATTAATGAAAATTTACGCAACTTTTTGTTTGTTCTATATTTTTTTTAAAACATATACCTTGCAAAGAGAACAAGCGACTTAACCCTCTTTTATGCATGCAAATATTATAAACATAAAAGCGTTTTAAAAAAATTAGACTGCAACTTCGCAATTAAAAAAGTTCTTGCAAAATATATAAATTGTGCATATAAATGTTGTAAGCGGACTTTGAAGTTTTTTCGCCATCGCAAACACAACCAATCTCAATAAAAAAATATTTTTTGACAGTTTACAAGCGCAAACTACAACTGTTGGATGTAAAAAATATTTTTGAATTTTTTCGATAAATATTTACATACACGTGTATGATGATATGTAAAAACACATTACCTGCACTATGATTTGTTTTATAACTCATATTAAATATTCTCAAAAAAAGGTTTTTGTCCCAAAAATATCACACCGAAAAAAGTAATAACTTTTTATGTGAATTGTGATAAAAAAATTAAACAAAAACTTTTAGTTGTGTTGTTTCAAAAATACCTCAACACTATGCTAGTTTACTAGCATAAATATGTACATATATGTGCAGGTATGTACAAACATTTTTATGTCCCTTGTGTTTGGCAGTTTTAGCTTAAGTGTGAAAAATGTAGCTCTCGAGCGCAAAATATTAATTATTTATTTTGTTTAGTTTACGGAAAATATTAAATTCAACACGGTACTCAAAATGTACACGTTAAATACAGACATAGTATGTATGTATTCAAGCTACTTCAAATCGGATAAATTAGCTAACATAAAATAAAATAAAATCAAATAAAATAAAATAAAAAAAATAAAATAAAATAAAATAAAATAAAATAAAATAAAATAAAATAAAATAAAATAAAATAAAATAAAATAAAATAAAATAAAATTAAATAATATAAAAGAAAATTAAAAAAAGAGTTCAAAATGCACAATAAAAAATTAAATAAAATAATATAAATCAAAATAAAAAAATTAATTAAATGAAATAGAAAGAGAAAAGAAATCAAAATAAAATGAATGAAAATATAATAAAATGAAGCAAAAAATTAAATTAAAAAAATAAAGAAAATTACCTTAAATAAAATAAAATGAAATGAAATAAAAAAATTAATAAAATGAAATAGAAAGAGAAAAGAAAACAAAATAGAATGAAAGAAAACGTAATAAGCTGAAATAAAAAAAATTAAAAAATAAATGAAAGCAAAATTAATTTTTTAAGGTTTGTAATTTTTTATATTTTATTTTATGCTGTTCTATTTATTTTGTTTTATTTTATTTTAGTTTTTTTTTTATTTTATTGTATTTTATTTCACAAATTATAAACATTGAATAAAATTAAAAAAATAAAATAATATAAATTAAACCAATATAAAGTAAAATGAAGTAGAGAAAATTAAAAATAATAAATAATTAATTAAATATAGAATTAAATACATCATTGCTAATTAATAATAACATAAAAGTACAAAAGAAAAAGTCTCCGAAACTAATTTTAATATATATTTTTGAAAAAGTTTAGTATTTGTATATATTTTATAAATAAAAGTAATTAATTTGTAAATTTTGTATCTTTCCTTACAGTACATTCAACCAGCACCGATTGGTTCCGCAACTGCCAGGACGTGGTTTAATTAGGCACTAACTAAAAACAAAAAAAAAAAACAACGATTTAAATGCATACACATACAAAGCAAATATTTAGTAAATTAGAAAAATTAAATAGCAAACAAATTAGATAAATAAAAATACACATACAAATTAGTTTAATAATTTAGCTTTTAAAAAACAACTAAAAATCGGTTTCTGCATAAAGCGTCATCTAGAAGCAAGTGCAAACTATAATTAAAAACTAGTTTTTTTCGAAAATCTAAAACTAGTTTACAAAAACCAAAAAAATGCTGTAAAAATTGTGTTCCCACATAGCCGATAAGGTTGACAAGCAAAAAAGTAAAGTAAAAGTAAAGTGAATTAATTTAAATAAGTAATTGAAAAAAGTGCAAAATATAAACAGTTAAGATTAGTACTAAAAAAAAATAGTGTTAAAGTAAATACTAATAAAAAAATACTAGCGAGTTAGTAGTATTTAAAAAATTAATATCGAAAATAGTACCGACTAATTTTTAGTACTTCAAAGTTTCTAGCGAAAATAGTACTAAATCACTTTAGTACTAAAACATAAAATAGTACCAAAGAATTACTAGTGAAAATGGCAGTAAATACATTTTAGTATATAAAAGTTTCTACCGAATATAGTAATAACAAGTAATTTGCGAAAACAGTACTAAACAAAAGTGAAAAAATAAGGCAAAAGCTTGCGAAAAACGATTTAAAAATTGAAATTGTTAGGCAATAAAATAGTACTAAAATTAAATAGCAATAAAAATAAGTTTCTAAGCTAACGAAAAATTAAATTGAAAATAAATGAAAAAAAGGTGAAAATAATAGACGAAATTGATAATAAATAATTAAGTTGTACTAAAAGCTTAAAAAATTGCTGGCGTAATTCTAAGGGCTTAGCACTAAGCCAGAAATTTCAAAAAATAATTTAAATAATATAAAAATTTAGGAAAACCGGAGAAGTAACACAAATAAATCATATATTTAGTACTAAAAGTGAAAAAATATAAAAAAATTATTACAGTTCGTGAAAAATTCGAAAAACGTTAAAAATAAGTATTAAACATAATTTGTGACGCTAACATATAGAAAAGAAAAGTATTCAAAAAAAGTCTTTAATACATATATATTTTAATTTGCCCAACCGTTTTCGAAACCATTTACTGCATGAATGCTCCAACGCGCCTGGCAACCCCTACAAGCAAACTCCAATGAGTCACGCACATAAAGATAAACATAAAACTGTAAACGCAACAACAAATAACGGCTTTTCATTATAAAAAATTTATATACGAAAAAAATGTGCGTTTAAAAATTTACTTAAGTCAAATAAATAATTCATAACGGCGCACGCGTTTAAGGAAAACAAAAGTAAACAAAAAAAAAAACAATAATCAAAGCACTAACGGTAATGCAAACGGAAATAACGGCAGAAATCTCGACGGAATAAGTAATTTTGTGTTGCGCGAAAAAAAACAAGAACTACAGCGCAGCAGGCAAACGCGTTGAAGCGTGTAACGAGCAAGGAGCGAGTGAGCTCTAATTGGGAAAGAGGCAAAAGTACGAAAGAGAAAAAAAAATCACACACTAAAAGTTAAACAAAGCACTGAAAGTCCTCGCAAATAACTGTAAACAATTGGGAAACGCAAGTCTTAAGTGGCGACAAAGCCACCAAAAGCAGGCCAACAAAGCAAATCAAAAGCAAGTAGCTCAACTATCAACACAGCACTCAACTCAGTTCTCAGCTTTCAACCTCTGTACATCTCAACTGACAACTAACAATTTTTCGAAGACGACCAAAGTCAAATAGTAAGCGCAAGGCAAGTCGGAGACCACAAAAAGTTGTTGGAGCACGCAAAAGTTGACGTGAGTTGCAAGCGAATTCGCCAGCGCCAGCTGCAAAAGAGTGCGAAAACGATAGAGGGAGAGAGAGATAGAGAGAGAGAGGGAGAGAGGGTGAGAAAGTGTTAGAGGGCGAGCGCGAGCAAAAGAGAGAGTGTGAGTGAACGCGAGATAGAGCACATCCCTTGGGGCTTAAGCCACAAGTGCATTCATTTGCTTGATAACTGCCGCGAAACTTTCGTTGCCATAGCAACCGCCCTTTGACGACACAGCGAGCTCTATGTGCGCTAACAATACAAACTACATAGACTTTAGTGTCTATTTCCGCAAACAATTGTCGCGCTCACTTAACTAGCTCACGCTGTGTAGAGATCTGCGACTGTGTCACTAATAATTTTGACAACCACAAATAGAAGGAAGTTACTTTTGCTTGGTTTAAGAGAAGAAAAAGAAGAAGAAGAAGAAGAAGAAGTTGAAACACAGACGAAAATCACTTTCGCATTGACTGACGTGCGATTTCCCACAGCGCGCAGGACAATAACGCTGAAATTGAGGTCTTAACAAACAACGCTAATTGACAAGTGCTCACCAGCTCAGCATCAGAGCTCCCAAATTGTAACGCGTTGGAGCATATCACACACACACATACACACAAACGCACACACACGCAGTGTACAACCGCAGGTGTTTGACGCTTATACTCGAGACGCGCCATCCATCCATCCTTGCAGCGTATGTTTGCATGCTCGTTTAACTTGTAAATTGTACCAAACGCCTCTGGGGGCAGACACAGCGCGTGTAATTGTCGCGTGTATTGATTAAGTCTTCAAATTGTGTTGTGCGCTGTGTCACAGCTTCTTCACGACTCATCATACTCGTGATAAGCTCAGTGATTGCTCAACCCAACTCAGACCGTTTTTACGTCTCACTTTAGCCTGATTTGTGGTATTTACATATAAAAGCTCCGTACGCGGCAAGCGCGCCCGCTTGTGTCCAACTTTGTTTTTGTTTTACAAAACCAAACCGAAATTAACGTGTAACGCGCTCTCGTTTACTTTTTCGTCTATATTCATTTTCAATTGTTCAATTGTGTCATTTGTTCGTTTTAGAGACGACAAAGCGCGACGTCAATTAGCTTGCTTTTGTGTGTGTTGTTGTTGTTGTTGCTTATGAACTCACTCAGCGTTCGACTCTACGTTTAAGCAAAAAAAAAATAAAAAATAAAATAACAAAACAACAAAACCAAATTTAGCACCTACGACCAGTAGCTCCTCCAGCACAGTACCTGCTACCAGCCAATTGTACTGCGTCAACATCGCCAGCTCAACCCACCCACCCGCATTGACACGGACAACAGTTGTACGTGTGTTCTTCAACGGAAGCTGAAATCTAAGGACATGGACCCGTCGCTGTTTGCCGTGTTGATCTTTCTTGTGATAATTAAAGGTGAGTAAACAGAAATTGTGACTTTGCAAATAGCCGCAAGGGGCGCGCACTTGCATCGTATTGTTTGCCCAATGAAGTGAAGTGTATGATAAGATGAGTTTTGGTTTCTAATATTTTTACTTATGTACGAAGTTGTGGCTTCTTCTATGGTTCTTTTTTTTTTTTGTACAAATATAATAAATTAGTTTTTAAAAAATGTCAAAATTTTGAAGAAGGTTTACTTAAATATTTCATACTTGCATCCAAAAGAATGCCAAAAAGGCGCTGGGGAGCTGTTGAAGGAGGCTAATTTCTTTAGCTCTGCTACAACCAGTTCGACCTAGATCGGAAAGAGTGAAATTTAAAGCAAAATTTTATACGAGTGATCGGAAAAGAAGTTCAAATTTGATTCCATTTTTATTGGCATTAACCTGCATGTGGATTATAAGCCAGGTAAACTGGGCTGCAGACTGACTGGCTTTAAGCTAGGTTCTCTCTCATTACATCCTCATCGCCTTTCGAAGAAGATCTCGTGCGGAGGTTGTTGTGAACCAGTATTCTCCTAGAACTAATTATCGATCCTTCAGGAAATCGACAGCTGGATTGTAAAACCGTCCCAAAAAACAAATGGCATGTGTTTGGAACGTCTAGAACTCAGTGGCATGTTGTCGAACTTGATTTTTATTTATACCTATGCATAGCAAACGTTTACTTAAAGCCTTAGATAGAGTCGTTATGCCTGTGACCTCGAGATCATTGTCTTTTGTTGAGTGTGGACAACCAAGGTATGTACCGTGTGTGCCCTTCGTCATTACGTTGACCGACACAGTTAACATAAGGACCTATTGTCCTAGATAGCTGCGAGCGGTTTGGGTTGACCTCTTACAGCGGTACAGGCAGAGGTCTCCGATTTGACACATTTGTTTTATGTGCCTATTTTCATACCTAATGTTCAGTTCATCTTACCTTCAGATCCTTAAAAGCTCTATGATTTAATGGACAGATCTGTGGTATACCTAAAGAAAATATGAAAGGTTTTTTGAAAGGTAAAAAGAGTCTCTGAAAGATAACATTGTAAATTGCAGCCTGTAGAAGTAGGCGTAAGGGAGCACACTTTTAATTGTAGGAGCGAGAAATATGCTCTTAATCATCGCTTTGGTTCCTATAAGAGCTTGCTACAGCATTAGCCCTGTCAGCCAGCTATTTATTCCCAGATTTTTCCGCCTCTCTCTTTTTTTCTGCGACTGCATCGCGCTACTCTCTTTAACTTCATTGATCGCAGCAGCATTGAACTTGCCGAACTGTTTTTTGAACTTCCATTTCTTGCATGCAGATTTGATGAGTGCAAGTTGAGTAGAAAACCGTTCGAGTGTCTGTTATGATTGCAACTTTTCGACGCCGAACTTGCATTCTATTTGTTGACTGGCATTCTTTGTTGTTTGCTTCGGCGGTGTGGGATACTTTGTTGAGTGTTATGTGGGTCTTCCGAGCGTTAACAATTCAAAAACCCTGCAGCCATGTCTTTCATCTATCACAACATGATCGATCATCTGTAAATAGCCAGTTGGCTTGGGGAATGTTCTTGTATTGCAATTTATCACTACAAGCAATCATATTTTGGACCCGGCGCTGTCGTTCAGCCTCAAGTCATACGGGGATGTTTACTGTTACTTGTGCGGAAGATATGTACTTTGTCCACCCTGGCGTTGAGGTCTCTTAACAAAATTTTGAAAATATGGCGGAAGCAGTGGTCACAAGTACGCTCCAGATGCGCATAAAAGGTTTCCTTGACTACATCGTCCTGCCCTTTCATCGGGTCGGCATATCTACGGTGTGTTGGAAAATCTTATTTTGATGAAGATGACGATGACATCTGAAACCAAGTACTCGCCGACACGAATTCAATATCAAATCACGGCCGCTGTAGTAAATGCCTCAAGTACCCATTCGTTCCCGCCTTTATTGCGTTCATCGCACAACATGGACGGCGGTGATGTCACCCTTCAATACTACGTGGACATCAATGAAATGGATGGCCCACATGCATGCCCTCAAATCAAAGGTCTTAATACGTTTGTGGTGGTCGCCATTGAAAGTGGTGTAATTCGTGCTTGGTGTTGTTAAACTTCTTACTGGAACTGGTTGCTACGTGGCAATCTCATAAATATGTGATATATCTATATATATATGCAAATTATTTTCTTTATATATTATATTTATAAAAACTAATTTTTTATTAATTTTTTTTATATTAATTTTTTTATATTAATTTTTAGCTTACATTGTCTTTAAGCTCCATTAAAATTTTTTCCTATAAAATAAACGACTCATATCATATTTTCAGCTCTTTGGAATATTTATTTTTTAATTTTTTTTCTCATAACTGTCGGTTAACTCACTAAGATTTATCTCTTCATAAAAATTACTTATCCCTTGCCTAGACCAATTCAGCCGTCGTGTTTACTTAAGTTTTCTCTATCGCAATGTCCTTTCTATGTAACGTCAGGCGAGGAAGACAGTTTGCCTTGACTGACGGGCTGATGAGCTGAAATTTTAGCTTCATTCTCAGCTACGTTTGCCCAACAGCTGTTTGCTGAATTCTTTTTCATCTTCTTTCTGTTATTCCCACAGCCATTTTCAAACATCTCCTCCCTAAAGACTCATTAATTTTAATATGCGTATATATTTTCTGTAAGGATATAAACTCTACATTCATATACTTGTATACAAATTTATATATATGTACATTTATATGGTTTATATGTAACGAATATTGTAACCATTTCTCTTTGCTCAGCTTATTCTTCTTGTCTTCCACTAATAATGAAGTGTATTCCGGGAAATATTTGCCTTTATTTACATTTAATTAAAATTATGAAATATTTTAAATATTTTTCAATATGTATATAACAACAAAAAAAAACAACAACAACAGCATGCCATACATATAACTGATAAAACATCGCTGGCCTCTCCCAGCTTGCCTTCAAAAATACTTCCATCGCCTTTGTCGTTTAGTAGAGGAGAGAAAAACAATCATATTTCCTACCATTCATTTCAATTCTTCTTTGCCCCATTTGCGTTTTAAGCTCATCAAATATTTCATTGCTGTCCAGCCAATGCGGCGCGCGGTGGCGTTGGGTTTAAGCGAACGAGCTTACATTAGTTACAGTTAATGATTTTTCATTAAAGGTTGCCCATTTGTTTCTTTTTTACTATTTTTTATTTTTATTTTTTTTTTTTTTTTTGCTTCTGCTTTCGTGCTGATTTTTTGTTTTTTTTGTGGGTTCAAAAATATTAAAATATAAACTGTGTTGTTCATAGAAATTTTTACATATAAAAGTAGGAGAATTTTCGAATTTGTAAAGAGCTAGATTAGGTGTACGGGTAAAACCTAACCTCAAACTGCATTCCTTCGGGCTTTAATCAAACAGACGATAGGCTTAAATAGTTATTTTGAGTAGAATAGAATAATTTTGTTCTTTCCGTTAAAAAAAATTGTCCGTAGACCACAAAATCCCCGCATTGAAGCCAAATCGTGTAGCAAATTTTCAACTAAAATGATAGAAAGAGACGATTTGGACTAAAAAACCTCGATTCCAACTTACTTTGTGAATCACCGATATTCCTTTCTCCTACAGAAACTGTATAATTTAGTATCATATTATTATCTAAATGGAGCCGTAAAGTCTAGTGCTGTAGAGGCTCCTAGCATGCCCCTGTAGCGATTGCTTATTGATATTTTCATTCGAAAATTTGCTGCACGTTCCGCCATCAGACTTATGGAATGGGAAAATGAAGCCAAAAACGATTTGGACTAAACTGACTCATAAAAGCTTTAAGTGAGTCAGACAATACCCACCCGAGCTTAGAATTCAATAGCTACTTCAAGGTGAGAATACCCCCTAGATATGAATGGAGAGGAGGTTTTTTTTTTGGAGAGAAGCACACCAGCTTATGCAATGGATCCGGAATATCTTGCGTTGTAGATGCGGGAGTATTTTCCGACAAATTGAGAATCTCTCTTTCTTTTGGTCTACCACATTCTGCCAGCATCTTCCAAGTGAACGTATTTAGATATAGCAAGGGTCTGTGAAGTTATAATGAACAACAGTGGGAGCACAGAAAAAGTAAATACTTCAAACACTCCGATAACCAGGTGGCTTTGATGGTCTTATCGTTACCAATCGTCCTTAACTTAATTATAGGAAGACTCCAAAGCACTCTGTCTGGTCAACTCGTGATCTGTCAGGCATAAAAATATTTTTGGTAACCAAAAAGCTGATGATCTGACCAAGTCAGCAATGCCTCTTGACTAGTGTGAGGCATAAGCAAAGGACTTATTAAATAGGTCTATTAAGAGTATATTTAAATTACAGCCATAGAACTGACCCTTCGGAAAACATGAAGCCAAAATATGGTCTGCCTCACAACAGCTATTGTAGTAGATGCAAACTGGAAGACCCCCATTTTCTATATGAAAATCCGACTATTTTATAAATTCATCCTATAACACTGGGGATTCATTAGATTTTAAGCCTTGAATGGTTCTCCACAAAGAGCTTAACTGGCATAACTATTTAGTTTCATTGAGAACACCAAATGATTTGAACGTAACAATGAAATGCGATAGCAGGACTGCCAAGGCCTTCACGGTAGTGCATCAAAATATTAAATTTCTTCGGGCTGTACTCTCACCTACCTTCCTACCTACATTGATGAAAAAACCAGAGCCATTTCTACTGATGTCTCACAAATTTAACTTCAAGTAGGCTCCTGAAATCGATTTTTACTGCCTCTTGGATACTTAGCCCTTCCGTTGTATGGGAACTCATTACAATCACTCTGTATAGTTTAGCTTATCGTTAAGTGAGAGAGATAGAAATATGGAAGGATAGGCGGAGAGAGAGAGAGAGAGAGGGAGATAGAAAGAGAAAGAGAGAAAGAGAGAGTGAGGTGAGAGAAAAGTAGAGAGAGAGATGAAGGAAGAGAGGAAGAGAGGGAAGAGTGGCAGTGAAGGA